TTTATAATCCATTCGACTCAGTTTGTTTTTGAAACAGGTCTTATTCACTAGAGATTTCAATTCTTAGAAAAATTCACCAAAGAGTCTGATGAGATTTCTTAAGTAAATCGTTTCTTGTTGAGGGTCGGGTGGAAAAGGCTGGGGAGGCCCTATATTTCTACAAAATTATTTTTAATACTATAAAGCCTTAAGGTTGAAGGGAAGATTAGCTCTGTTTTTAGTATTAGCCAAGATGATTTTTACAAATGTAGTGGTCATACATCTAACTGTGTTGTTGCATCACTTATAACATTTGTCACATTGATGGTGGTTGGTGAAAAGTTTACTGGGATTTCTACTGCCAGAAACATTTTCAGTAGTTTGGTAGCTCTCCCATGATGCTTCATCATATTTCGGTGAAGTCGAAATGACAGCATTATTTTTATTTGGAGAAAGAGACATGGAAAAGAAATAATCAGGTTTGGTTTGGAGTTTGTTCAGCCTCTAAAACTACTATTAACAATCTGAGGAGGAACTGGGTTCTGATCTTGGCTCATTTAAAATATGTCATTTTAATGTGAATTAAGAAGACACAGAGCACTTTTTAAACAAATAGAAGCAAGAGAAAAAATATATATATCTTTCATTGTCTATAGAATGGGAAAACAGTGATAACTGGAAGGGTTATCACCAGCAGGGCTATAAAGGTAGATGTTCTGTATGAAAGTTGTTTTGTGCTGGCTGGAAAATTACTGTTTGGCTATCGCCCATGGGAACACAGGCTATCACCCATGGGAACATAACATTCTAACAATAAGTTTTCTGCTTCTGTACCCCCGCTTGTGGGTTGACAGGTAGTGAATAGGAGAAAGATGGACCTTTGTGTTTAAGACAGAATGAGGAATGGGATTTGGGGCTTAAAAACCTTGTATCTTGGCATTTGGAGGCTGCTCCTTTGCAAGGACAGCCGCCGGCTAATAAACTGTCTCCTGGTTAAGAGCGCTCAAGTTGGGTCTGGTTATTCTGGACACAACAGTGCTAAAATCTAATTCACCCTCCCTTTGCAGGGACTGCTAATATCAGGAACTTCTGAGAGCTTTCTAACTTAAAGTGTTTTTTTCCCCATCAACAAAACATAATATAAATTTATCTCTTCAAAAGATAATTTCAATAAAAAACAATTCACTCTTGAATACATAAGACTTTTGAAACTTGCTGTATGGGTTTCTGGGAGGGCCCTGTCATCACAATTTACTATTATTATGTAAACTGGCTAAAATACCAAGTGTAAAAGTGGAAATTCTCCAGTTTCAGGGAGGTGGTATCATCAGGCGCCAGCCCCCAGGGAGAGCCGTAACTCAGTTACAGGGAGGTGATATCTCGGTAATAAAACTGTCTACTAGGCGCTGTTTGATCTGAGAGTTCCCCAGATACATTTATCTTTGTACAAAACGTTAACAGCTAACTGCTGCTTCTTGTAATCTGCTTATTTGAGGATGTAGTTGGAGGCTTTATAAGCTGCCTCCTCTGGAAGCTCGGGGCTGATCGCCTCTAACCCTGCGTGGTAGAGAGTCAGTCGCCAGCCGGCTAATAGAGGCTCATAATTAATCTCAATTGGCTCCGTGGGTCTTAGAATCGTTGGCCATAACACAAGGCCAAAAAGGAATGAAAGTTGTAGTCAAGTCTCGTGATTTCTGGGGGGAGGGGAGGGGAGAGAGAGAGAGAGAGAGAGAGAGAGAGAGAGAGAGAGAGAGAGTTTTGAAGTGTTTCTGCGCTTAAGGCTTTAAACTGCAAAGAAAGGAAATACTGCATTCTACAGTATAGATAAAGGCACTAACAATTGTGTCAGGTGTCAAAGGGAAAACTGGATAGAACTGGGAATCCATTCCCGGGAGCGGCTCTCTTAGCAGCCTGCCTCTCAGTCCCTGGTGTTCCAGGCTGATGAGAAAGCCGGCAGGGAGCTCCAGCCGCGCGCCTCCGACTCCCTTGCTGGGCAGGGCCGCGCAGGCTGGGAACCCACCTGCCCTCGGGGCGGGAGGATGAGGCCAGCCTGGGCGCGGTCCCTTACCTCTCGCGTCCAGCTTCATCTGCAGAAAGTTTCCCACCACCGGGTAGCCGCCTGCGGCGGTCGGAACCGACCTCATCTTAAACCATGTCTGTGTGTAGCTCGCCACAAACTGCAGGAAGTTCAGGATTAGGATGGCGCCGGCCACGGAGACGGCGCTCCACACGCCCCATAGCAACAGCTTCTGCCCGATGTGCACCAGCCACAGCGCCATCCCCGCACCTGTGGTCCTCTTCACACAGAGACTGAGCACTGAAAGGATAGCGGGAGCCGGTGCGAGGTCCAGCGCCTGTGGCTCAAATACTGTGGTCCTGGGAGGAGTTCCCGGACTCCGAGAGGCGGGCGCATCCCTGAGTGGGTAGAGGTGGCGTCAGGCCCTCTCACTTCTTCCTTCTCCCGCCGTGGGTGAGCGCAAGCCTGGCGGCCGAGAAGCGGGGACTTCCCGCTGCAGGGGCCGCCCTGGCCCTCAGTGCGAGATTGGAGCCTCCTAGCCTCCGAGGAAAGCACCACGAAGGGTTGATATTGTGCAGAACAAAGGCTTGCGTACTGCACACGGGTGTCTGGGTCAAGCAGAAAACGAAACACCGGAAAACAGTTCCAGGGTTCTGTAGAGGTTGCTGAAAGTAAATGAAGGCGCTTAAGTGAAGTGGGGAGGAAAATGGAGGTGAAATCTAAGGTAGCTTGGTGATGGTGAGGCGCGCTGGAACCAGGGAGGGCCCATCTTCGGATTACAGGGCCCGCCGCTGGGCACTAAAGAATTCCAGCTAGAGTGAGCAGTATGTTTTAAAATTGAAACAATGAGGCATCTGGTTTGAAATTCAGCCTTTGGAGGTAGTTTTCCCTGGCGAGGTATCTCATTTCATGCTTCCTCGCGCAAGAGCAACTGGCGGTGTTTACTTTGCTGGGACTGGCTGCTTATGGGAGGAGGGTTGCATCCTGGCTTCCCTTCAGGGTCATTCAGAGCTGCTTTCCACTTTGATCTAGAGTAGCTTTAGACACCAACCTGAGATAACGTTTGCATCATCACGTCTCTGAGCCACTGGAGAGCTGAGTAATGTTGTGATCTGAATATTTTCCAAAATACCTTGGAGACCAAGAAAAGCCAGCAGGTAAGAAAACAACAAAGGAGCGGGTAGGAAAGGATGAACGTCAACGTCTCTGAAAGTGGTGGAAATAGATGCTGGGAGAGGAGGCTTTGATAAAGAGACAGTAGTTACGGAGCTCTTTCAAAAGTAAACGAAGACAAACCACTGGGGAAACAAAAAGGAGGGACAGTGAGAAGGATGCCCCCTGACTACCAATTCCTCTTTCTTCTCCAGGCAGAGGGGACCCCAATCTTGACCCGGGCTCCTTTGTCTACACTTGCTCCTTCTTACAAAGAAGCTAGACTAGGAGTATCCCTCTCCCAGTAGAAGGTCCTTAAGTTATAGTAAAAGTGCCAAGGAAGATGACATATTGAAAAATGCCCTGGACCCCTACTTTGCTTAATTAGATTAAGTTTACTTGCAGCTCTCACATAGCTTGTCCGTTGCCACTTGCAGAGCCTCTTTGATGCAGAGAAAAACATGCCTAAGGCTTTTCTCCAACTGAATTTTTTTAAGTCATCTCATATGTACTGACACAGAAAGAGGTTTGTGAAATGCTAAGTGAAAAAAAAATTGCAGAACAGAGCATATAATGTAATGTCATCTTTGGCAAACGTTTCTTTTCTATAGCTAGACTAATGTCTGGAAAGAAAATTTCTGATCACCTCTGGAGTGGGAATGGAGAACTTACACTTTTAATTTTCTAACATTGTTTAGTCACTTTAAGACATTTTTAATGTATTCATTTAATATCTTTAAGTATATCTCATGAGCTTGAGTTTCATTCACTCTAAAGGTCAAGTACAGCTGGAAAAGTATGGCATTTGTCTATATCTGACTCTCCACTAGTCCCCGTGGACAAAAGAATATACAGCCGCTGTCCTCAAGAAGTGGAAGAAGGTGGGGAGTGCTGCAGGCAGCAGCAAACGTGAGCAAAGAAATGCTCCAAAGCAAAGAAAGGTATGATGAGTTCAAGAAGCTGTGTAGGGGCCCCGGTTCGGAGCACAGGGCAGCTCTTAGTGGCTAAAACAAGATAATATTCACAGGTAGCGTGGAACCAGCTTAATAGACCCTGACTGCCAGGCTTAGACTTCTAATTGTTCAAATTGTTTCATAGTGTGTACCTAATAATACTTATGTCTTAGTCACCTGAGGGTCTATTTTTATTTTGTTTTAAATTTGGCCCTAAAATTTGGTCCTATTTTCTGAGCTGTAAATCTTGGATTGAATTCTGTACGTTGTATATGAAACATAGTAGAAACTCTGGGTGATATTATCTTAGGATTTTTTTTTCTGGCAGTCAAATAAATTATAGGCTGATCATCTTGATATAAACAGGAGTGGCACTGATTCGAGGTTTTGCTTCAAGTGTTTTGAGGACCTGTCTATTCAGGGTGTGCTCTTACTCCTGGAGTGTAGTCCTTCAAGATAGTCAATTCAAAGACTGGGGCATTTTTCAAGGGCCTAGTGAACTTCCCACAAACTCTACGATGTTACTTTTTTCTTGGCTTTTATGCCTCATGCTATTAATCTGAAATACTCTGATGGGGGAAAACAGTGGCAAACAGTGACAAAATGATTTCAACTCAATGTATTTTCCCTGTCTCCAAATTTGCTTTCTCAAGATTGTCGCTGCCTTTTTTCCTTTTCCTCCAACTAGCCATTTTTTGTCCATTTACAGATTTTATAGTTACTCTCAGTGGAAGGGTGAGTTTGTTTCAAACTTCTTTCATATTCAGTAGTAGAATGCCTCCAAGTTTATTTTTAAAGTTATCTCGATTGTATGTTTTTAAAATATTTTGTTATAGAAGCTAAAACTTTCACCCTTAGACACTCTTATCACATCCCTAAATCCCGGAGACCCACCTTTAGAAAATTTAGCCTTTCTGAATGTTGCTTCTGAATTATAAATTAGTATTCCCTCAACTCTGCCAGCTCTTCCCTAAATTTCCAGTGGGATACGCTCCCCACGTCCTCCAGAGGGCATTTTAGCTATCGTTCTTTTTTGGTTCAACAGTTCTAAACCAAATAATGAAGACATTCATCAAGATGAGCATTACCAGGAAACACGTGTGTGTGCACACACACGACGACTCAAATAAAAAGACAAGTATCAGGAAATTTGGTTTTCAGACCTCAGATTATTTTGTTCACAGTACCTAAAATCTAGTCGGACACTGTCCTAAATAAAATAAAGTATCTTACCAGGCAACCATTCCTAGTTCCATTTTTCCTCTTTTATTTTCATTCCTCCCTTTGTTTTATCAGCAGGTACGCTCATGGATCCAGTATATTTGTATGCACAGAGGCCTCTGCGTCTGTGGTTGCTTTGATCACATTCCTCTCACTATAGGCTCTCCTAAAACTTGAAGCTTCTACATAGGGAGCTTCAGAGGAGAGTCTATTGGAAAGATACATGAAGTGGGGGTAAAAAGCTATTTTTATGATTTTATTAAAATAAGGAATTAACACATTTTTAGGTGCAAGAACTTGTAAATTGTCCAATATTGGTGAAGTGTGAACTGAACATGCTCCTATTTGAAATTATCCCATCAACTTGGGCCCTCAGGGGACATAGCTCTAGCAACTTTCCTCTTTCCTGGAGCATCAGTTTTCCCTCTCTACCAGCTCATTCTCAACACTGTAACACGCAATTTCTCCCTTCTAATAACCACGCCTGAATCCGTATCTCTTAGATCCATTCCTCTACTTCTCTTCACAGAAAAATTCCTTAAAAGACTGTCCGCACCTACTGTAGATTCATCTCCACTTTTTCTCTCCTGAACTTTCTGCAATCAGACTTTTGCTTTGTCCACTCCACTAACACTGATCTTGTCAAAGTCACCAATATCTCCTATTTGGCTCAATTTTTAAGTCACTTCTCAGATCTAATGTAACTTATCAACAGCTTTCAATGTATCTGAGTCCTTATCACTTCCTTGAAAAACTTTTCCCTCCATTTGACTTTAAGGATTCCACATGCTCTTGATTTTTATTCTCCCTCACCAGTCATTCCTTTTCAGCCTGCTTTGCTAGTTTCTCTTCACATTCCACGTCTCTAGGTGTTAAAATGCCCAGGCCTCAGAATTCTTTTTCCCCCTACTTCTTTACACTTGTTCTCTTGGTTATCTTACCCATTTCAGTACTTAAATACCATCTATATACTGACAATTGCCAAATGTATGTTTCCATCTATAGCTCTTCTCTAAACCCCACAGGCAGATACCCAAATACCTTAACATCTCCACTTAGGCATCTAACAGGAATCTCAGACATAACATATCCCAGCATGCTTCTAAATGTGCTCCTCTTGAATTCTTTCTGATTTCAGTAAATGACACACTACCATCTTTCTAAGTGTTAAGCCAAAGCCTTGGAGTCAGTCTTGATTCTTTCTTTAGCCGCCCTGTTTTACGTTTTTCATAGTACTTATTGCTATCTGATCTTATATTATATTTCTATTGATTTGTTTACAGTCTGTCTCTACACTAGAATTTAAGTTCTATTAAGGCAAAGACTTTATCTTGTTCAGTCCAATGTTTAGAAAAGAATCTTAATACAAAGAAGGTGCTTGATGAATATTTGATGAAACAATAAATCCATGATCATTACCACACAGGAAAGTCATCTTCTAAAACAAAGATTGAATTAGCATATTCATAAGTGATGTAAAACCCTCACAAACATATATGGATATATATTTTGAATTCACTGTGAAAGTTTGCTATGTAGTTATACATAAATGAATGAATAACCTGTGTATTAAAAACCACATTTACACAAATTATAACCTAGATGCTTTTATGAATGTAACGAATTTTTGAAAAATTTTCAACACTTTATATTTTATTAAAAGTTAAAGAATTAAAAATCCTGAACAATGATCCGTAATCATAAGAAAACAATGCCATTAAAAATATAATACCCAAATGATTTATGACATTATACAAATGCACCTCTTAATTAGTATAGTAATTACATTCTTGTTCAGACGAACATCAGTATGGACACTTCCTTTTACATTAAATTTATAAAATCTAGCGATTTTCTATGGCATTTTCATGTTATTTTAAAACTCTTTTATTCTTCCTTTGGTTTTGGATAAATTAACAGACATTTTAATTAATGTCATCACTAACCTTAATTTAAAAATTGATCTCAGGAATAATTGAGTTTGCCTTTTTCAATTTTTCTCTGTTGAGAGATTCAGAGATAAGACTCGTTTATATCAAAATTATGAAAACACTGCCTTAAATTTTACCTAATCATTTTTAAAAGCACCATCCTTGAATATAAGCATTTTTTACTAACCCGTAAATCTCATTTAATCTATAAATGAAATATCTTTAATACAGATCTTTTTAAACTCAATAGCAGAGCCAAGTCTTCATGTTATCACTAAAATAGCACTTTATCTTTCAATTCAAAATGTTTAGAAGATATGAATCAAGATCACTGTCTTTGGTTCCATTTTTTAAAGTATTTTTATCAATATATATAAATAATAGCTTCTTTTTTTTTTGCAAAACTCCAAACCCAAATAAAATAAAGCCACCATAAAATCTATTCAGAGGTTCTCCATGAAAAAATAATTCACCTTGGATACTCTACCTTAATGTTAGTATAGAATGCATATCAATCTTTTTCTCTCCTAAGAAGTCTAGACTAGTTAGAGAAGGAGTTAGATGGTTCCAGGAAATTGAAATAAAATAGTCTGAATTGTTTTGAAAGAGCGGGGTGGATAGAAATGGCACATTTAGCAGTAATTATAGGCCAGAAAGCACCTAATCAGAGACTTTTGGAAAAGGTCCAGACTGCTGACATATCTAGAAATTCCTCACATTTGAAAACTGCAAAATGAAGACTGATCATTTCTCTTGAAAGTTTCTATACTAACGTTTACGGATAGTTAGAAAAATTTTTATGTGGATAAGTAAGCATTACGAATATTACCTAGAGTTATGGAGCTGTGACCATCCAAAAGAGCTACAGACACAGTGATCATTCTCATGTCTACCCCATAAACATGTTCATTTACCATAGAAAATAGAGAATGTAAAGGAGAAGGTATCAATTAGAGGCAAGGCTCTAGGATTATTTTTGTTTTGTCACTCTGTGAAAAAAGACAACAGTAATTCCACTCTCAACACGTTTCTTAATTTTCAGACATCTGTAAGTAGGCAATAATCCTCATCTCTTACAATCAGAAATATATCTGCAAATAACTTATTATATACGTATATGATTATATATATAGTTTCATTTTGAATTAATGAAAATTAGATTGATAAAATAAAATTATCTGATAAAAAAAGAAGAAATTAAGCAATTTGAGATCTGAGTATTAAAATGAGTCTAAATATTTAAAGGACTATAGAGGAAAACAGAGGGCCAGGGGTAGAAAAGAAAAACAACCGTAGAGCCTTGCCTCGTATTGATCATTGCTCTTCTGCATTCTTTATTCTATTTCCTGAACTAATGTCAGATAGGAATACATGCTCTGAAGAAAAACAAAGTAGGGCAATAGGACAGAGAAAGGAGGGATCAGGGAAGGCTTTATTGCAGAGGTGACATCTGAGCACAGATCAAGTTGTGATAGAATAAGGAAGATGCTGTTGCAAAGCCTTCCCTCCAATGGATGAACGCTTCCATTGGAAACGATAATGCTGAAACCGTATGTGACATATTTTAAATGTTTATAATTAAAATCATCAACTGATTTTAAAAATCCATAAATTCGGTGGGATACTTCTAAATAGACTGCCTGAATTTGAACATGAAAACTAATAAAACAAAACTGGTTTGGGAGACTTAGCCATGAGACTTAGGTTCATAACTAAAGTCCTTTTTAAAAAGATATAAGAAAGTCAGCACAATGACTAGAACCATGTGAATCTTAGTGAAACTGGCATATCGTACCAAAGATGACTTTGCTATTTTCTAAAGAAGAAAATAATATCTGTTAGTGACCAGGATGTCAATGGAATGAGACAAAAAATATGTCAGACACAAAGTTACAAAAATGGCGTATTCCTAGATAATATACTCTCATATATTAAGGAGTGTGTGATTACATCACTAATTATATGTGTCTGTATATAACTGATAAAAGGACGGATTATAGATACATATTAGATTCTTTTGAGCAAAGCCTAAAGGATCCTTACTGGAATGCTTCCAATAAAGAAGGTTAGTGAGTTTGACCTGTATTCTCTTTACAATGCAAAGTGCTCAAAATTACGTTGTTTATTTGTTTGCATTTCTCTCAGTTTAACATCGCAGACTGTCAGACAAACAGATACAGAATGTAATACTTGTTTCTCCATTTTTCAAGTGATAAATGATGTGCTGAGGCTTTGAATGCTCCAACGAGTGCTGTAGTTCTGGTGAAGTAACATTAAGATGCCACTTGGAATCTCTTTCTTAAAGTCATAGTTGTCCTCTGAAAAGATTTAGGTGGATATTGTGAACCTGCAACACCAACCAAAAAGTAATTCTCAACAAAATGTTAAAAATTCCACCTCTCAAAAGGATTGTTTTGTATATTCCATGCAGGTGATATTTATTAAAAAGAAAGAACAATTTCAATGTCACTTTTAAACAAACCAGAAAACAGCCATATGCAAAAATTTTCATATCAGGTGCTAAGAAGAAGGAAAGGTGCTCCTTCTCCACCATGCCCGGGTGCTGCCCCTGGGTCCTCCCAGAGCTGATGGCTTTGCAGGAACCTTCTTCCCAGAGGTGGATCCAAAGGCCCAGAAAGTTGAGTAGGGAGGGGCAGAAGCAAAGCCAGCTGCCTTGCCACTGTTGGGGACACTCCCTCAGCTTCTCCTCTTTTTTTCTGCCACAAATGTAATAGCTCCTGGCACTTTTTGACTTGGAAGCAAAGGTAAGAAAGAGACCACAGGCCTGCTTGTCAGAGAAAAAAAATCTTCAGAAATAGAGGGACATCTCTCTTAATGTACCCTCAGTTACTTCGGTAGAAATAAAAAAGGTTTCTGATCATCGGTAATAATTGTCACAAAGTTTCTAAGAAGAGACTACAGTGACTTAGTATTGGGTGAAAAATTAAGAGTGCAGATTTAAAATAAATTCAGAGCCCAGTTCCATCTGCTAATGTCTACTGTGCACCCAACAAACTAGTAGGCATCTCCACTTAGAGTGCAGCAGTCGACATCTCCAAAACTGAATTCACCAGAATTCCTCGCATTCTCTCTTTCAGCACCATCCACAAAATCATATTTATCAGCCTTCACCCTCCGTTCTCTCTCACAAGCCACAGGACATTCATGCTGATTTGGCGGCTCATGCCTCTTCCAGAAAAGCTCTCTGCTCCTTTACCCACTTGCATATCCAGCCAGCTGGCCCTGCTTACCATACTCATAGCCCTTTCAAATTTCCCCATTAGACAGAATGTTTCTTGAGGCATGGACCAAAATGTTCTTGGTGTTGGAATCTTTGCCTTTAGCACAGAACTTGGCACAGAGCGATTGCTTAGTGCTTTCTATTTATTGATAAACAAACTTGGACGCCTACTTTCCCCTTGACCATTTACAACTACGTTAAGAGCGATACGTGATAATGCAGCATGGCTACCTTTTAGAGAAAGAACTGATGTCACTGACCATGAGAGCTAACACTGCTAGGGAAAAAAGGAAAAAAAGCAGAAAAAAGGTACAGCAGCCAAGAGCTATTAAGCATAGGAGAAAATATATCATGGGCTAAAGAATCTTTCGTATCGCTCTGCTATAGAACTATAGAAGAGCTGATGCAAACAGTGACAAACGTGTGTTTTTCCAATGCTTAAATTTTGCTAAAGCTATTTTAAAATTATAATATATAAAATATTTTCCTTAAAACAGCAAATTATCCTTTACATTTTAGATTCTCTATAACACAAATTTCATAAATTTTTAACAAACATTGTCTGTCTGGAATCCAGCTAGGTCCTCCCCATACATTTTCCCAATAATTATTTTAGCCACCTAGCCTGTTATTAAAGAAGAAACCCCAGAGAGGTTGAGGCACCCCGAAGATTGCCCAGCTAGTAGGGAGGAAGAGCCAGGAAGGAAAACGAGCATTTGATTCCAGAGTGGCACACCTCGTGACAATGCTGTATTAACTCCTTAAACAAAAATGTTGATAGTAGTTTTGAAAAATAAAACATCACTGGCTTGAATTCAGACTAGAAACTTTATTCTTCAAAGATCATACTTATTTGTAAAATTTGACCTTATAAATAATTAGAATATATGTATTAATTTTATAAAGCATTTTTATAATACCTGATAGATAATTATAATTACAATTAGATAAAACTGTAATTAGATAAAATTTGTAATTCTCTTCAAAGAGAATCTAAGATTAGGGTTTAATTTAGAAGAAGAGCATGAAAACGAGCAGAGAGAGACTCATAAGACTCATATAATTAAAATATATTTTTTAATTTCTCATCAGACTCATAAGGCAGCATTTTCCTTTTTTATGAGAGTGAGGCCCTAACTTAATTAAGGGCATTTGGACATTTTCCCTTGTACTATCAACAGCAGCTAAATAGAGATTTTAGAGATTTCTAAGGCCTGGCAGTAAACGACAAACACTTGTTATTCCCTCTGGCATGGTTAAAATAGTCCTACCAAGGTAGACAATCTTCAATTTCTCTTTCCAAAACTTGAAACTTCACTTATTACATCATTTTATGTATAGATGGTGAGCACTGACCTGTCAGAAAACCTTGACCTGTCCAGGTGTGACCAGCAAATTCCATCAGTGTCAATGAACCTTTTCGAGGAGTGTCTGACTATTAGAAGAAAAATAAAATGTGGGATGAGTTTTATTGTTTCGAGTATTTTCAGAACCAAAGTGTGGTTAACAGAGAACCTACCAGAAATGTATGGGTTGTGCTGGGCCTTGAAAACTGTTCCGTGGTCAGAGATCTTTCTCGAAGAGGTGATCGTTCTATACCGTCAAGTACTGCACTCAACACACGGTTTTGTGCATGCTTTCCTCTGTACTAAATGAAAAATAATGTGTTCTTGTTTAAAAGAAATACAATCCTTAAAAAGACAAAAAAAATTCTGCATATGCTTCACTCTCACTCATTCAGTCATTTAGTCACTTGCCTTTTTGAAAACTTACATTGCTAAATATAAGATCCACTAAGTATAAATTTCAAAATATATTTTAATTATGTAATTGTATTATTTAAGCCGATAAAATGATAGTGTTCTAATAGGTAAATGTTTTGAAAAACCACGTAAAATTCTTAATATGAAATTATAATAGAAATGTAATTTTGCATTTGTGAAGCATCAGACTTTTTTCAAAGGTAATATTTGCCTCCTTTTATGATTTCACTCTAAGCCACAATATTCTGAGGTTAAACACTAAAGTTTTGCCACTCTTGCCTTCTGGGGAAGGGTTCTACTGCTGTGTTCAAGGCGGCACAGAGAATGCAAGAGAAAACATGGCTTCAGTCTTATTTCTCTCTCTAGGCCTTCTGTGTTATATAAAATAGACACAAGTTACTTGAATTAGAGTGAAGTAAGCAGTCGTTATAAAATCTGGTTATGCATACTACCAGCAGCATACTTGCCCCAGACCTTTCGCAATTGCGTAAGTTGAATCTGGGTGAAGAGGATATTGCCTCTACATTGCAATAAACATGGTAAAGTTACTTGTAAAAATAAGAGTTGATAACAATGGCAGGAGAATTGTACTGAGCTCTTAATTTATGCCAGGCATTATATAACCTCTATAAATTCATTTAATCCTTATAACCGGTTTTTGAGGTAGCGGTCATTATTGCCCCTTTTTAGAAGACAAAAATTGAGGCTTGGGGAAATTCATTTGCACCAAATCACACAGAGTTTGTGTGGCATGGCAAGAGTGAAACACAGATCTGCCAGTGTCTTGACCTCAGCTTCATGCTATTTTCTTCACTACACATCCTGACCATCGGATATTTCCTTGACACCTAAACTTTCTGATTTAGTTTAAGCCATATTTTTATTTCACAAAATAATGAATTAACCTTCCCACTCCCTGTAAATTCTCACGAGCCATTTACTTTCAGGAAGCACATTATATAGACAGTTTAAGTTAATGACTTTACTCAAAGTGCCAACGTTATATTCCTTTTTTTTCTCCAATAGACTACCTAAACTGTGCAATTAAATATAATGAAACCTGTCTTACAGAAACAGGGCGAGATCCGGGAACTGCCACATTCTGCTCAGCAGTCTCTGAGCCTATTGGGGGTAACCTGCTCCGTGAAGTTTGGACTGGTGGGGAAGACGTGTGGTCTATGCCGGTTTGCCTGTAAACACAACAACACATAACTGAACACCCAGGTGCAAAGATATTGAGGACAGACCTTACCACATAGTCCTAATCTGAGCCCTTAATCACGGTCTGTCTGCCTTCCAAAAGAAATGAGCTTGACCTTCAGAAAGACGAATGTGGGAAGGGACTGGTCCCCAGCCCCAGTCACCTTCTCCTTGTTTGGCAGTGACTATCCGCTGTGTTTACTGAGTACTCACCTACGCTAGCCATTGGGCAGAACACAGAGGTAATCAAAGATCTAGGTCCTCCCCTTAAGGAGCTTACAAAGTATTGAAAAGAAGGTGAAAACACATGAAATAACAGAGTACAATGCAACCCAGTTCATATAATAAAGTCCTATGGCATATGGTTCTGAACATGAGTACCGTAGAGGTTTAGGAAATGGAGTGATCAATGAAAGATAAAATTAATTATAAATGTGCAAGGCCTACATGAGGAAAACTCCAAAACTTGATATAAGGTCATGAAAAGGAGACACAAAATATGTTCTTTAATGGGAAAACTAAATATTGTGAAAATGTCAATGCTTTCTACATTTTTAATAGATTTAATGCTCAAAGTCCAATGTGACACTTTTTTTTTTTTTTTTGAAATTAACAACCAGATTGTAAAGTTTGTCAGGGTGAGTGAGTAAATTTTAATAAAAGAAGAGTCATGATAATATAAGCTCTTCCCTACCAGATATTAACAATGAAACATTAAATTGTCCGGTTTATGAAGAAAAATAGAGCCAGATATTCTAGAAACAGGTTCTAATTCATTTATTCATTAATAATAAAGTTGCGAGAGTTAAAATAAAACTATTTTGACCTACTGAGTTTTAAAATACACACACTACCCAGAGTTGTGTGGCTGAAGGAAAAAGATAGTCTTGTGTATTGCCAATGGGACTATAAATTGGTAAAACCATCCTGGGAAGAAATTTGAAAAAATATTTCAGGAACCTCAAAATATCCATAACCTTTGACATGGTAGTTTTCATTCTAGGGCTGTACCACAAGGAAATACTTTAATTATAGCCTTACTAAGATTCATATTAAATGATATTCACTGCATATTATAATAATGAAAATATAGAAGTCTCAGTAATAGAGAAAATACTTAAATCATCACATACCCACATGATCATATTTTAGTCATTAAAATCATGCTTTCAAAAGTATCTAATAACATGGAAAATATGAATAATGTTAGATAAAAAAGTATATGAAAAAGTGCTGCATCTACAATAGTAAAATGATGTTAGTATTAGAAAAAAGCTAATGGAAAGAAAAGGAAAAAAACATAATCAAAGACAAAGTAGTAGTATATTTGCCAAAAGTTGTTATTTTTATTTTTCTATGTGTTGGGCATACAGGTGATCTTTAATTTCTACTCATATTTTTGGCATTGTCCCAATGTTCCACAGTGATCTTGTAGTACTTTGATAACTAGGAAAAAATGTTACTTCAATAAAAGCAAAAGACAGAGCATGAACAAAATCAAAGAAGTAAGAATGTGCATAGCTGGCATTTCTGTGGGTCAGAGACAAGATAAGGCTGACCAGAATTAAGGCGGGTAATGAGAAATGGGAAACAGGCGTGCATAATCAAAGACAATGTTATCGCCCCTAGGGGCAAACATTGATTCTTGGTGGGACAAAAAACATGTTACTCTTTTTATGCATAAATCACAGATATAAAAAAAATGTACGACTGTACAGTATATATGTGGCATTAAATTTCCACGGGTTAGGGTGAAGTTAGGAAAGATAGTCTAAAAGGACCCCTTAGCTGTGAAATAATGAAAAAAATAAATAAATAAAACATTAGAAAATACGCACCTATAGATAGATATCCAAAATAAAAAAAAAAAAAAGAACGTACAGTTAGAAGTGACTGAATTTATTTCAACAGGAAACAGAAAAGGTTGTTGGTGAAAACCCGATAGTGGAGCCCAAGTAGGTTGGGAGAAAGAAGAGAGAATCAGTAATGTGCTACTGACACGGGCACTAGGTGAAGAAGAGGTCCAAGGTAGCCACAGTGAGGTTGGAGGATGGAGAGAGATCTTGAAAGCATTAGCAAGGAAGATCCAAATAAAGCTAGAAATTTTAGTTCTAAATCGTGAAAGAAACGCTGACCTATCAAGAAGCTTAAAGTGGTATTATGTAATATATCTTGAAAGAATCTAATTACTGGTTTGGCACTGGCAGTTGCTTATGACTCCTGCCCCTACAGGGGACCTAAGTTGCTTATGACTCCTGCCCCTACAGGGGACCTAAGTTGCTTATGACTCCTGCCCCTACAGGGGACCTTTAATAACTGCCTCCCTTGCTGATGGTCCAAGCGGTGATCTCCAAAGCTAGACAGCACCATGGGGATGCTTACAAGTTATTTAGCTTAATTTATACAGCTAAGCAGAGTACTGGAACAAAATTCACATTAAACATTCAAATTAAGGAACTACTCAGAAAAGTGTCCACATAAATTTGACAGAGGATGCTTTGTCTGGAATAATCCATAAGCCCCAACTGACAAGCATCTCTGCCCTCTGTGACCTTTGGTTTACCATGAAAGAAACAAGACGTACAGTTTTGTTCCCCTAAGAACTTCATCACTGTACACATTGGGGGTTTTCATTCTCTGCGAGTCTGAAGTAAGAGAAGGCAGCCTCCTATGGACCGGTGTTCTCTTTGCAGAAGTCTGTAGCCCGCGAGGATCTGAGATTCGGCCCAGACGGTGTCGTGCTGAGGAAAGAGCACTGGCCCCTACACCCAGTGATTTGTCCTCTTGTTCATTCCTGGAGGAGGAAAATCAAATTAATTAATTAGATGTAAGCACTACGAGAACAGGAGACATATATATTTGCCCATTACTACCTACACTGTCTAGAACAGTGCCTGGCTCATAGGAGATACTCCTATTTATTGAATGGACAGACTATGGTTTCCAATTCATTTTCATTTTCAGTGAAGGATCATTGACAGGAAAAAAAGATCTAAGTTTCTCTTTGTCTGCGTTCAAACAGTATAGCCCATAAGATTAAGAATTCACAGCTGCAGTCCCCTTTTCTTATCTGCCCCAACCTAATAGTAATTGTTTTATGGTTGATATGAGAATAGTATGTTTTTATTCTTACACATTGGCTGTATCCTGCCCTGGATGTTCTCAGACATATCAGGATCAAGGAATTAAATGTGATTCTCATTCTCTCATGTCCTCTGTAGTGTTCTGTGTTCTACTGCAGGGATTCCCAACTCCCAGGCCATGGACCGGTACCAGTCCATAGCCTATTAGGAACTGGGCCACTCACTAGGAGGTAAGTGGTGGGCAAGCGAGTGAAGCTTCATCTGTATTTGCAGCCGCTCCCCAGCACTAGCATCACTGCCTCAGCTCCACCTCAGATCATTGGGAATTAGATTCTCATAGAAGCACCAGTCGCTGGAGCCAGAAAGGGGACCGCTGCTCTAGCGTGTTCAGCTCAAGGAGGAGGCTGGGTGACTTATTATACGTACTGTGTTCTATCTGCAAAATAGGTAGGTCTCTGCTGAAGCGGTTTTGCTTGAATTGTCATCACACCATTCAGATCACTATAAAAATTGTTGGAGAAGCAATGAATCTGAGAAAGTAAAAACAATAAATGTTAAAAAACATTCAGTGCTATTGTAATTACTGATGCCTCTCAGGAATTGGCAGGAAACAAATGGCACACTCAAAATGGCTTCTTTGAGAAAAATGTAACAACGGTACTATATTTTATAAAGAAGTGGGAAGAGAAATTAACAAGGAACTGCTTAATTCTCTAAGGCTTATAACAGTGAGGACATAGGCCCAAAGCAGCAAGAAATAAAGGAGAGATTCCTGGAATCTGGAAAGGACAGATGCAAGGAGAAATGCTGCCACACACTGTGACCTGCCATGAAGGCCATGTGAAAAGCAAAGCCAGGCTTCACTCTCCTTCCATCTCTGAGCTCACAACAGCTGCAGCACAAGGGAGTCCTTTATTGTAGCTTTTGGTGCACGCAAGAGTGAAAAAGGTGCAGAGAAGATCTGGAGAAGCAAAGCAAGGGTGTCCCAGCTCCTGACAGGTCTGCTCGCCTTGGACCTCTTCTCTGCCCTTGTCCTTCACAGCCAGCCTCATTAGCTTCCCAGAAGCAGCATGAGAGCCTGGGAAAAAAGTGCCAGATTTCAAAGGCTTAAATTTGAATCTCAGTTCGGTTTCCTGTTTGGTGATTTTGGAAAGACTCTTTGGAGTTTTAGTTTCCTAATTTTTAAATTGGGGATAATGACACCTACTTCAGAGTTATTATGAGAATTAAAATAGATTAACATTGGTGAAAGCATGAAATAAGGGCTAAATAATCAGTTCTCTATTCAATCTCTTAATATTTCCTACTAGGATTTAAAATAATACTTTGATCTAGGCAAACAGGATATCTCAAATTAGAATTCAATTCTAGTTCAAGCATATATTTAGTAACCACAGTCACATTTTCCTCTTGTTGAATATATATAAAAAGAAACGTTAGAGGAATAAATTGAGATCTATTGTAATTACCATTAGAATGCTTGGACTATTTCAAAATAGGCACTAGTAGTATTTAATTTTTACTTCCAACTTTGTTGTCCGTTCATTTTCTTTTAGCATTCGTCCAAATGAAAACGTCAAACTAGAGGTGGAAAACATTTTTAAAAACCACAAAAAGCTATAAAAACAACAAAACATCTGTAAAAAACGCCTTAGACTTTAAAATTTCCATACTTCTCAAGTTTATTTTTTAAAGTAAACGTATTTAAATTTAAAAGTTCTTTTCTATGTTGTTATAGACTGTTTGTTTCTATGCAATTCATACTGCATATTTTAATGTGTGAAGTGGGAAATACCATTGAACTTGTCAGAGCAGTTTCAAGAGACCAAAACTATAATAAGCTGATAGCAATTCCAAAAGTTTTCCGAAGAGCAAAAGCAAAGAAGACTTATTGTAAAGACTTTACACTAAAAAATTAAACAATCTTATTTGATATTTCTGTTTAAAACCATTGCTCCTTGAACCACGTGCCCTATTCACAGGCCTGTGTGTTTTCAGTCTTACACAGATATTCTGCTTATTTGTGCCCATGCTAGGTATCTATTTTTGTCTCTGTCTTGAATATTCTCCTTCTTTTTCAACTTAATAAATCTTGCCTTTTAAGATTCAATTAAGGTCTTACTTTGTGAAGGATATGCTATTTTTCCTCTGAACTCCACAGCATTTATGAGCTAAAGGACACTTGATATACAATACAATACAATGTAATGTAATATGTAGTAATGTAATGTAATTAATAAATACAATAGAATTTGAATCTGGTTATAAATAATAAAAACTAACACTTATTGAGTGCCTACTCTATGCCACACATGTCTTATCTCCTTGAATTCTTACAGCTTCCTACCTTATAGTTCCTACAGATATTGAAACTGAGGTTTTTGAGAGAGAGGGACTGATTCAAGATCACAAGGCTAATAAATTGTGATGTCAAACTCCAAACTTGTAATCTATACCCAAAACTTCAAACTCTCATCCACTCTACTACCTACTACTGCCTCATCTTATGTGTGTATATGTGTGTGTGGTATAGTTTGGCATGGCTGGACGCCGTGCAACTAAATTGTATGTACCTCAAGACCAGGAAGCCTCTGATACCCCTTTTCTCTGCTCCTTCACACAAGACGGGCTATGCAAAACATAAAGTCCAAACTACTGAAAGTGTCCCATGAACGAGCTTGTCCTTTCCAGCCGCACCTTCCACTAGATCTTTGAATAAGAACACAATTCAAGAATATTTACTGTGTTAGTTAGTTGCCAGGTTCTGTGTTAGGAGCTCTCAAATATTTACATGATTTTATCCTTGCAACAATCCCTTGGACAACATCATGTTATCCTCATTCTTTAGATAAGGAAATTAAAGTTTAGAAAAGTTAAACATTATTGTCCAAATAATTTCTCCTTAGAGGTCTCTTGATTCCAAACGCCCCGTTCTTCCTACAATGCCTCTGCTGGTCCCAGTGTCCCACCCTCTAACTCTCAGTCCAATCACCGTTCCCCAAACACACCTCCTCTTTCTTCCCTTCACGCCTTTGCTTGGCCTGAAATGACCCACATGAACTTCCTAGCCATGAAAGCCCTATTCATGTTTCTGCTCAAATTTTACCTCCAACCTAAAGATCAGGCCTCATCTCCAGTCAGGATAAATCATTCTCTCCTTTATGGCACTTATTTTGCACTTACTATGGCACTTATTTTGCACATCGCTCACAGAATGTATTGCATCTGACTTGTATTATACTTTTTGTTTTACTAGTTCAGGGACTATGTTTTGTTTGCCTACATATCTCCTCAAAACACCTAATACAGTTCACTTAATACAAATTCAATAAACGTTGCACGAACTCAACATAGACTCGTTGACTGATTCTTTTATCACTTTGGTGGGAGGAGAGGAAAATATTCGTAACCTGCAAATTGGCTAGAAATATTGGTGGAAGGCATTTTTTCTCTTCAAAAATATAGAAACAGCTCTACAGCTCAAAGCAGGTGGAAAGTCTCAAATCTGAGTGTCCCCACTCTATTAAAGAATATAGTGATGTTATTAAATTCCATGGAATAATTATTTTAAAATTAAAGAATATAGTGATGTTATTAAACTCCATGGAATAATTATTTAAAAATTTGAGTCTTATTGGCAAACAGCACCAAATATTTCATTAATAAAATTTAATAGAATAGTAGTCTTGACAAACTAAGGCCAGAGCTATAAAGATTAAGGAAAAAATAGACTAGTGGAAAAGCATCTACCTGAGGTGGGTTAAGATGAGAAGTCATGGATATGCTTCGAGTTTCAGAACTTCTGGATGGGGGAACACTTGACACATCAGTGTTAATACGGGAAATGAGCAGATGTGGAGATTTAGTCTCAGCTACTTTCAGTTTTCCTTTCTGTTTTTTTCTTCCTGTGTCAACAGAAAAATCAATATTACTAAGAAACAGATTACCTAATATATGTACTGAAAATTCATCGTTCAAAGAGAATATTTGTTATTGAATTATCATGAGTCTGCTATGGTCACCGAACCTTGCTATAGAGCAGTGGTCCCCAAACCTTTTTGGCTTCAGGGTCCAGTGTTCCTATGAGAATCTAATGCTTGATGATCTGAGGTGGAGCCAAGGTGGTGATGCTGGCGTTGGGGAGTGGCTGCAAATAGAAATGAAGCTTCACTTGCTTACCAGCTGCTCACCTCTTTCTGTGCAGCCTGGTTCTTAACAGGCCACAGACAGGTACTGGTCTGTGGCCCGGGGGTTGAGGACCCCTATTATAGAAAGCAAAGATACCACAGAGCAATTGGCTGATATAACACTTTTCCATGTGTACATAATGAAATGCCTATTATTTCAGTGGTAGGAAGGAAAATAGAGATTATACGCTGGAGCAAGAAAGAGTCTCAGTATTTTATAATATCCCAACTAATCGCTTTGGTTGGAAAAAGAAATATTTAAATTACCATGATTATTACTCTATTGTATAGATTACATAACACCAGTCATTAATGTCCACTGCTAACATTTCTATGATTTCTTTCTACTTAATTTCAAGTAGTTTAGAAAACATTTTATAAAGTTAAATTGGTGATTATTAAATTAGCTGTGTTTACATTTTATGTTACAAATAATGTCATAAACAATGAAAAAAACAGTATGCCATTATTAGAGATTAGTTAGGTAAGATTTTTTTTTTTTACCTTAATACAATAAAAAAGTGATTTCTAGCTTCTTTCTTGTGTATTTCTGTGACTTTTCTTTTTCCAGAATGCACATATATTATTTTTGTAACTCTAAAAGAATCATGTCCTTTTTGAAGTAATTAAAGACAAGTTATGAATTAAGGCAGAAAACCCACTTCTCGCCCCAGTTATGTGTTAGTCAAGGCTAGGCTGGGGCAGGCACAAAGCTGAGAATCAGGGGTCTTTCTTCTTTTCACTAGGCCAAGTTCTATAAATGGGTACCTGTGAGTGTAATTTCCCAGTTTTTTCTAATCAGCTCTTCCAGTATTTCTACCACATTTGTCCAGACGTGATCAAATACTTCTGCAGCCACGGCATCTTTTATACAGTCATGAGGGGAAACAGGAGGAAATCCGTGTTTACGCCATGTCCTACGACGGTGAGCCGATTTTTGTTCAAAACGTACGTCATCACTAAGGATAAAACCCATTCTAATTATTCAAAGTATAAATGGTTAAAGTTAAAATGATGTTATCTATCTATCTAACATGCAAGCATATATGCACATTATACGTATATAAATAAACCAGATTTTTTAAACAGCATATTGTTTTTTAATGTACCAATTTTTAATCGCAAAGCAAATTTTTTATTGTATAATATTTGTAGTTTTTATTTAAGAACCAAATATGCATTTAGTGCAGAGGTTGGACCTTCCCCTTTGCTCTTCAGGGCAGCCTGGTGTAGAGTACCATGAGACCCCGGGCACAAAGGCCACTAGTAGCTTTGTCCACTTTCGCCAGCAGGCTGAACACAATTGTTTTCTATCTGTGCCTTATCGTCAAAAAGGCATATACACTACTGGTTAAGAATCTAAAATTTGGGGGAGCACATTACTCTCTGAAGAATGGAAAATCTTTTGGATACGTGTAAAATACTCAAAACACTAAACGAGCATATTAAGTGCCAAATAAATTAATATCGTTATACTATTGAGTCAATTCCAAATAAAATCTGTTTACTCTTCTTTTCTGTCAAAAGCAAAATATTCTTCAATCTTTCCATCCACATCGTAGACCTCTTCTTGCAGGGATGAACATGCCGTTAGGTCGGCCACCCCTGTGCAGTCAGAGCCTGGCAGGGCAGGGGCTGCAAGTGCTGCTAGGAGTATTTGAGAGCCAGAGATGCATAACCTATGGGAAAAGCAGATTCCCATGAGAGTCTGTAGAACAGCAAGAGTACAGTGTTTGCATGATTTGGTGTGTTTTTAAATTATCTATAAAGCACAGAATTCCAAAATTTAAAAAAAAAAAATCACTAAATATTACATTTAACCAAAGTCATCCTTAACGAAACATTTTTAACACAGGCATTGTTAAAAATTTTAAAGGCTTCTTAAAAGTCTAAATTTTTCTATGAGTTTGTATCCTCTTAGCTATAATAAAAGGAAGCCATGGCACAGTCCCCAATATGTATGACTGGCATAGAGGGATTTATCAAAATCTGTTAGTGAGCAAAAGAAAACAGGATGGAGCTTTATTTCTTCTGCTACTACTGCCTTGAGGCTTAGGATCAATCAGAGTGAGGCAGTTTTTGATTTTCTACTTAGTCCACCTTTCAGAGTCTTTGAAACAAAAGTTGAAAAGTTAACTCCCTTGATATCTGTATTACACACATCATTCATCATCATCATCATCATCATCATCATCACCATTATCATTATGAATTTAGAATCTGAAGCATTTCGTGTAAAAATACTCTGTACCTGCCCTTCACTGAAATCTAAACTTCAAAATTGATGGAGCCGAGGCTCACGGCTAAGAGAAAACGTATAATGAAATGCAATTAAAAATACTTTTTGAAAGCAACTTATAGCAACATACTCTCTGATGTTGCTGTTGCGTTCGCCGGCATCTGAGAAGGGTTCGTGGACTGCACTATAAGGCTCACTGCCCTGAAAGTGGCGGACCCCTTCATCAGTTGGCAGGATGAGTTGTCTTCCTAACACTCTGCAAGGTTAAAATAAAAAGAAAATTACTAATATTTTTCATTGGAAAAGGGAAAAATGTTTTGCAATTTTAAAAGTTGAATAAAATGACATTTTGAAGGAGCATGTTAGAAGCAATAAGGACCCCTGAGAACACAGATGCAAAAATCCTCAACAAAATGTTAGTAAACTGAATTCAGCAAGACATTAAAAAGAGCATACACCATGATCAAATGGGAGTTATCCCTGAGATGCAGGGTTGTTTCAATATCAGCGAATCAATTAATGTGATATATCATATTAACAAATTGAATAAAAAGCATGTGATCATATCAATAGATATCGAAAAAGCGTTTGACAAAATCCAGTATCCACTTATGATAAAAACTCTCAGGAAAGTGGGATTAGAGGGAACATACCTCAAACCCATAGCTAACATCATACTCAACAGAGAAAAGCTAAAAGTGTTTTTCTTAAGATCAGGAACAAGACATGGATGTTTACTTTTACCACTTTTACTCAACGTAGTACTGGAAGTCCTAGCCACAGCAGTCAGATAAGAAAAAGAAATAAAAAGCATCCAAATTGGAAAAGAAGAAGTAAAACTGTCATTATTTGTAGATGACATGATACTGTATATACAGAACCCCAAAGATTCATCCAAAAAACTGTAGAACTGATTCACAAATTCAGAAAAGTAGCAGGATATAAAATTAATAATGGAAAGTTGGCTGCATTTTTATGCACTAATAATGAACTATAAGAAGAGAAATTAAGAAAAAAATTCTATTTATAATTGCATCAAAAAATAAAATGCCTAAGAATAAATTTAACTAAGGGGGTACTTGAAAAATTATGTCATTGAAGAAATTGAAGATGATACAAATAAATGGAAGTGTATATCATGCTAATGGATAGGAAGAATTAACATCGTTAAAATGGCCATACTACCTAAAGCAATCTATAAGTTCAATGCAATTCCTATTAAACTACCAATGGCATTCTTCACAGAACTAGAACAAATAATTTTAAAATGTATATGGAACCATAAAAAGATCCTGAATAGCCACGGCAATCACGCTGCCTGTTATCAAACTCTAATACGAAGCTATAGTAATCAAAACAGTGAGGTATTGGCATAAAAACAGACACATAGCTCAATGGAACAGAACAGAGAGCCCAGAAATAAATCTATGTCTACGTGGTCATTTAATCTCTGACCAAAGAGGCTAGACTATAAAATGGGGTAAAGACTGTCTCTTCAATAAATGGTGTTGTGAAAACTGGGCAAATATATGCAAAAAGGAAGGAAGGAAGGAAAGAAGGAAGGAAGGAAGGAAGGAAGGAGAGAGAAAGGAAGGAAGGAAGGATGGATAAATAAATAAATAAAACTGGACCACCTTCTTATACCATATACAAGAATAAACTCAAAATGGATTAAAGACTTAAATGTAAGACCCGAAACCATAAACCTCTTATAAGTAAACATAGGTAGTAAACTCTCTGACATTGATCTTAGTAATATTTTTCTGATATATCTTCTTGGGCAAGGGAAACAAAAGAAAAATATCCAAAATTTATAAAGAACTCATACTCTTTTATACTCTTTAAGGCAGGCAGCTTATGAAGGACACAAAAGAATACAAAAGAACCTACTTAGTCAAGATTTTTTGAAAAGGTACCTAATTGAGGTAACCAGAAGATCTACCAACAAGTGTATGAGTGTTAGCATTTATTCTCCCCAGGCATAATACAGAGGAACTTCAGATAACCTGTATGGATTTTTCCCCCTGAGTAGTTAATTGAAGAGAAAAAGCTTCCATTTATATCCAGTCTATATTCTTCATCTTTGATATAAAAAAAAAAAAAAAAATAAAAGGTCCTTCCTACATAAGGACTCTCCCTGCGATGGTAAGGTTCATCTATCCAATCATACGGCAAATAATTACTCTGTTCCTCGCACTCCCCCACTGTTCTCAGCGCTGAGGGCAAGACTCATGTTGCTCACATATTAGTGAACATGAAGGTAAAGGATGACTTCTACATTCTCACATTTGACATGCATGCAGTGCCTTTCTGAGGATGAGCTAGATTTGCTTTTCACAAATTAAAATGCACTCGAGTATTGGAATGTCTTAATATTTCCTCAGACACCATTTCAAAAGACGTGATTTTTCAGGAAAGGACATGTGTTCTGGATACATATTTTGACTGGGCAAGTGCTTTTAGTAAAAATGTACTAACTGTACTAAACAATCAGGAGCGGGCAGTTCCCAAAACCCATTCCGGATAATCACTATGACAAACCTCCCCACCTCAAATGGATGGATCTTCTTGACCATTCACTACATTCAGCCAGCAAGTTCTGGGTCTGAGGGCTCACTTTCCTTTCAAATAACATTTCTTCAACCTCCCAGAATAACTGCTGTACTTTCTGTGCATTGGCTTGGTCAAACTCCTAAAACAGAAACACACATTTAGTTATAAGACTAAAAGTTGTAGAAATATCAGCTTTATAATTAATGATACTTACAAATTTAAAGCACTCATTACAGAGGAGGGAGTAAACATGAAAAAAAGAAACCAGACTTTGAGGTCAGACACATCAATGCTCCAACGGTTACTCTTCTGATAAATTACATCCCACTATGAGCCTCTGTTTCTTCAACTGTTAAGTAGAGATAATTTCTACCATATGAGCTGAGACTTATTTGAGACTTTACATAGATATAATTATAGGTATAAGTATACATATTGATACAGACATGTAAATATCCATACACACACCTATATTTCTATGCATACACACACATACATACACATAAACACATATGTTCCTCATACAGTTGAGTGTGTCACACCTAAGAACATCTGCAAAATCAAGCTATTTTTTTTTCCAATGATGATACCAGTCAGAAAAAAAATTACTTTTAAAGAAAGAACCATTCACATTTTTTAAACCATGGAAAAAAAAAATCCTGTTATCCTAAGAGGCATGGTAGTTAGGGTGAGACCAGAGTATTGATTTTTCCTGCCTAACCTTAAGAAGTCCTATGGCTGCAGGGTGAGAAAACCTTTCAGCCTTTCTTCATGTTGTCATGGTTGGGAGGCAACAGTCCTACAACCCTCAGAACCAAGGAGGAAAACATAAACACCACCGCAATTGAAAGAACCAACTCTGGCAGGCAGCCTCCAGGGTAAAAGCCCTAGTTACTTCTATATTCTTCCAGGGATGTGTGAACCTGAAATCTAATCCACAGCTCAGAGCAACAAAGTGCATATCCAGTCTGACATACTTGATCCAAACAGTCAATTCAGGTTGATTTTCATAGAATGCTATTCAATATTTTCAGGGTTATTTCTTCCCATCAATTGATAATAAACTAGATTCTCAGGTTGCAGGGGAGCTGAATTATTTCTTTTAAAATGCAAATAAGGAGAAAACCAATAATAATATTTGCCTCCTAAGAGGGAACTGGGTGGCTGGGGCCTAGAAGAGGGCTTGCTTTCGATTTTCTCTCTTTCGGATGGTTTTGCTTTTGCAACTATTACCTATCAACGAGTAAATAAAAGTGTTTAAATCAAAAGCTATTTTAGATTGTGGATAATTTAAATTCCATAAATGGAAGTCATAAGAATCTCTGTAGATAATGACATGAAAATGTGTACTAAAATAATCTCGGAATTTGGACAGTATGAAACAGTGGCTCTCAGCCTTCTTGTCATTGACATACTTGTGACAAATGAATGTGAATGAGGGTGGCAGGGAGTGGGTGTGACATGGGGCTGTTTATCAGAAGTGAGAGAGTCACATTCTTGTTTGAAGAATTCCCCTGTGATTCAGAGCTGACTCCCTCCCAGTCTTCCGTCCCTCCTAGCCTTTGAGAATCACTGCTGTAAGACCGGAGGAGAAGGGGAGCCTTGTGGGCAGTGACAAGTGGAGAACTGCTTTTAAAGAGAGCAAAGAAAAACAGAACACAAGAAAAGAGCAGGAATAAGAACATCCAAGGTGCTCTACTGGAGGCTCTTCCCAGCCATGAGGGCTTCACGCAAGCTGCATCCTGGGATTTTGAGGGTCACGCGAGGGGTTAAAGAGTCAGGAGACTGTGCAATTGGCAGAGTGCTCAACTAAAGCCTGACTAATAGACTGAAAGCTCACTTAGCTAAGAATTCCACTACCAAAAAGAGCAAAAATAGGGTTAAAGTTAATAGTGTCTGCTAGGGTTAGAAAATGAAAGTAAACTTTCTGACTTAGAAATTCTCTAATCATGGTGATCTTTTACAGATTTTTCTTCTCCCAAATTTTCCTCTTGAGTTCCTAATTGTCAGTGTCTGTCCTGAGTTTACAGCTACAGATATTATACAAGAAATCATATATAACACATGGAAGGGGCAGGTTAGGAGGCAGAAAAAAACAAAACTATCAACAGCTAAGACTCTGAGTTGGGAGATTATGAGTGATTTTCGTTTTTCCCTGTATTTTCTGTATTTTTCAGTTTTTACATGTTGACATGTAAATGATTATATGTGTATGTACACATATATGTGTAATAGGTGATGCATTTAATATTGGTAAAAAGGTTTTTTGTTTAAATAGGAAAGCAACTCTTCATTATAAATTGTAATCATAAGATTATCCAAAATATTCTGGACATACATCATCTCTCCAAGAGTAAATGGAACTCCTCTCAGTAGAAAAGCCAGCGGTCGAACTCTGCGTCTCAGAACCAGACCAAGAGCTGTGGGCTTCTGGGGGCATGGGGCTTCCACCTGATGAAAATGATGACGTAGATTCACTGCAGAAACAAAAGTAAGTTATGTAAACATTTCCTGGGGAAAGGTATGCTTTTAAGTGGCTTTACTTCTATGAGCCATATTTCTTTTCTTTCTTTAAAATACGTTTGTTAATTTCATAGTACACTGGTTGAAAAATATTTATTCAGTTTATTCACTAGGCTAAAAAACCCTGCTTTTTTGCTTTTACAAATTCATGGCCAATTGCTGATTTTGTTTCCCATATTCTTTCTGGGCATGTTTTGATTTTGCAATCAGAAGCAATTAACAGGTTAATTCTTACCAGGTATATTTATCAATGGCTTTCTGCACATTTCTTGTAAAATATGTAGGTAAAGTATCTTTGCTTTTTACAGCAAAATTGTGTTTTCCAGATCCTTCTGAAAGTCCTCTTCTGAAAAATAAAATAAAACATGAAAAGTACCTCTAATGTAAAAATATAATTGTAGTCATTAAGGCTTTTAAAATTTCCTTTTGTATAACGTTGCTCCCTTCCTCCTGCCATGTCCTCCTAAACACACACGTGTGCATGCACACACAGACACGCACACACCACATATCCTCAAGAAACTGATATTTTTATTTTCTTAGAATCAAGGTTGCCATTAACGTACATTCATCTTTATGTAAACTGGGAAAAAAACAAACAATTTTTTGCAACATGGCCAGACTAGTAAAAGTTGCCCAAAACTCTGGGCAGACACAGCTTCATTCAACTCATGACCTGGCAAGTAAAACATGACCTGGATTTCAGGTCCCCCTATCCCCTGAAAAGTTAGTTACCTTTGTGTTTGTAAAGCTAACCAGCCTCCCAGGAAAAAATAGACAATCTCATATAATTCTGAAATATATATCAAATTCTTTTGAATCTTTAAACACATAAATAAATGTCAGAAACACATAAACAATAGCTTACTTCAGTTTGGCATTGTCGTTTGGTGTGTAGCCTGATTTGTAGTTTTAAAATATTAAAATTAAAGGAAAACTGAAACAAAGGAAATCTCTAAATTTTAAATAAGGTATTAAACCTGGCTGATGTCGTACAGCTAGTATTAATCATTAAAATACCCTTTCAATGAACCTTTTAAAACATTTACTTCCCTCTAGTCAAAGTATCTTCCTAATGTCTAACAGTAAACCACTTCTTTTTTTAGAAATCACATTTTCTTGGATAAATAAGTTATATCTCATATTAATTTAAGATATGATAGTGATTTGGGGCAGGGGAAAGCTGACTTTCAATATTTCAAACGGGGACAGCATTCTGGCATTCATTAAAATAAAACCTTGCTTTTGCTTTCAATTAAAACGATATCTAATTTTCAACATTAGTATTTCTGAATGTAAACAGAAATTTTAAAAAAATGTTAAAAGAATAAATTCTGCCCTTAGTTATGTACTTACTGTTTTCTTCAAAGAAAGGAAATTCTAAAAGCAAATTAATTACTACAAACAGAGGTTAGCAAGAATGTCTGCCTTCCAAACATGTCTTGTACAAGAGAATAGAATTATGATTTTTGCCTCTCCTTTTAGCTCATATGTCTTAAATACAACAAAGCAACTTTAAGGATAAAGGTGTTAAAGAAAAGGTACCAGAGAAAAGAATATAGGACAAGCTTTCATGCTAATAAACTGCTTTACCTTTAGCCCTTAGTTCAGTTATTTTAAAATATCAATTACTTATCACTTGGATAAGACTCAATAACTCTTTAGATATACATAAAACACTTAAGACATAAAAGCAGCAATCGACTAAAATTACATCAAATGGATCTGCTTTGAACATTAAGAAATATGTACTGGCATATGAGTTAATTGGCTTATTATTGAGAAATAATTTTAAACCTCAAGGTGGTGATTAAAATAAGGTGTCAAATAAAAGTGTTCCTTCATATCTCTATGATAATAATGGAAGAGTCAAATCTTGCTCTGCTATTGCCAGGCTGTGTGCTTTGAGCAAGTTACTTCTCTCCTGGCCTCAATATCCAAATTTGTAAAACAGTGACAATATCATCAACTCTTTTGTATAGTTGTTGTGAGACAAATTAGATAAAGTGTGTGAAATGTCTGTATAATCAGTGCCAGATATTATGTGCTAGATACATCAGGTTGATGTTGCTCACTGCTACTATTATCGTTAGCGATGTTGCTCCATGAGAACACTATGTTTGCACCTCCTACAAACTTGGTAATTTGCACCTCCCACTACAATTTGTATTATACAGCTCTTAGTTTTTTTATTGTGATGACCTTGACACTTTGTTAGCTTTCTTTATCTGTAGCATTTAAAATAATGTCCATCACACAGAGAAGTTCTATGTTGAAAGAATCAAGAGGCAGAGATTAAATTAATGACTAAAAAAAAAAAAGAACATGTTTTTGTTCTACAATTACTCTAAATATTCATATTTTATACAAAAGATTACACTATGACCAGATGTAAAAATATCCTTCAAATTCAAGACATTTCTGGAGAATCTTTCGTCCTTTATAGAGAAGGAAAATTCACAGCTCTTAGTATAGCTGATAGCTCCAAAACTGACTTAAAACCAAATAGATCATCTGCTGCAATCATTTCTATTTCTCTTGTTTCTAACACCTCCTCTCTTTTAGCAACTTGAAAACTAAACTCACTCATTAATCTTAAGACACGTGCCTGTTTGTTTTGTTTCCAATGAACAATAACTATTCCTCCAAAAAATTTACCCCTTGTTTTTCGGGGGGTGGTGAGAGGAAGTCTCAATACTAAGGAGAAAACTGCTGACAAAACGGAAGAACTAATTTTTCTCTTCACATTACAACATCCTTGC